TTCAACAACCCTATTTTTCACGTTTCCCCATTTTCCACGTTTCTTTCAATTGAGAAACGTCGATTTGGTCACACAAGACCGAGTCAATGTAACATAATCGGAGTACGTCGAATTTTGTTTTAGTTTTGTAATTTAATTAGAACACATAGCTCTACCAAAAGATTTGAAAGGTACTAGGAAATTCGTGAAAGTCAATGTTTTCCGGTCCTTTTCCCCCCAAAAACTTTAGTTGCGTGTATCACCATGTGTGGAGGAATTTGTGTTGGATATAGGTGTCCTGCAGGTAATAATTGTATATTATAACAGGACCTATATGAATATAACATCCTTATTCAAAATAATAGCATGCTATTTTGGTCAGATTTATCTGGTATTTTAATACAGATAAAGTCCTTAGAATGATACTAGACTATAAGACATTTCGGATATGATCATAATGAAGAGATATGATTTATCGCAAACGTATATTCTAAAATATTCCTAGTCGATGAAGTGTTGAAATGAGACATTATCACTTTGGGAAGACTAGTGTATACTCTATTTCTCCTTTGGTAGGATGATGATCCATCTCTTGGATCATTGATGTGAGACATCAAGATATAGTATACAGGTGACTCATTAGTGAATGAGTTGATTGGATGACTCACTGAGAACATCTAGTTGGTAATTATACTTAACTGTTAAATAGAAGTTCTCAAGTGATATAGTACATAGTAGTCTCTTGTCCTGAGGCATGAGTGTAATATCTTACATGTCAGTATAGGTCTACTTAGACTTTTACCTAACCACGGTTCTCATTGAGTTATGCATAACGGTTCTTGTTGGGTGCATCCCGAGACATAAGTAGATATTGAGATGCCAAGATGGGATTCTTCTCTCCCAGTATAGGGGGTTGATGTCATAAGATTGTTTGATATAACTATAACCTGGAAATCCTTGGTCGAGGTAAATAAGATAAATCGAGTGTCAGTTTGATCTTATAGGTTATGAGTTTAACATCAACAAACACTAATTGAGCAATTAGGATTTAACAGTTTTTCATACCCTAGTCTCAATAGTTTGACATGGTTTGACAAAGAGACCGGACTATACGGTATTATCACCAAGTGGTCCTGATAAAATTGTGTAAGCATCTTGTAGACATTTATCACAACTTATACCCGGGTAGTCTTTATGTGTAGCTAGCACCTCTGTTGTACTTGTGGATATCATCCATTGCCGAGTTCTTAAGTTAGGCTCCACAGTCACACCAAGCGCGAACTTAAATCATATGAAATACAAATTTATAGAGTAATGCGTATGATTGATACGCATATATGATTTTTACCGGATACACATAAACGATTATGCAAATCGGTAAAATCAGAATGTTATGTGCTTAGAAAATGAATTCCAGTATTTTTCCTATAAAATTAACTTTTAGTTAACTAGTTGACTTTTTGGTCAACAATTGACTTTTGGTCAACAGTTAACTTTTGGTCAACTCATTAATTTTTTGGTCATATGATGACTTATTAATCAATGATTGGAAAATTACGAAATACCGTATTTATGAAATACTGTATTGATATGGTATTTTCATTTATGAAATGCACACTTCATTATACCTTGATTAATGAGTCATGAGATGAGTCATTAAGGTGGTATGGTTTGGAAACATGGTTTTAGCACATAGTTTTGATTCTTCATGATTCATTGCATGACTCATGAGATGAGTCATTACATGACTCATGAGAGAATTATTGTTTTGATGACTCATGGTGTGACTCATAGGATGAGTCATTCATGTCATGACATATTCTTCCTCTATAAATATGAGCACTCTTTCTTCTTTTATGGTTAATGGAAAAATGAAATAAATGGTTTATTCATAGTTGCTTTTCATAAAAGAAAATAAGAGAGATCTACCTCTTACTAAACTATAGCAATCTTTGAGTAAGAGGAAGTAGTATGATTTTATAGTACCCCGGGGTGGATATCTTGTCTTGTGTCTCAAGAAGACTCTAATTTTATCAAGCTCACTTGAAGACTTGGAGATCCACTATGAAGAGATTTACTACTACAAGGAGCAAGAGCTAGGGATTGTTCGATCTTCCATCGAATCACGCTTTGAAAGTATGACTTTCTAACTCTTGTATGCTCTCTTTAATATAGGGATCATGTTAGATTTAATTAGGATGCTCCTAGCTTGTTTTTCATGCTCTCTACATGCTTAGTATTATTATACATACAGTCTTCCGTTGCGTATTTTACATGTATTTAGCACGAATTTGCAACATGGTATCAAAGCCATGGTTCCATCTAATTGAATCTTTACATGCATATCTAACTCATAGAGGACTTTGTACTTGCTTCTAATTACTAGTTTAATTAAAAGATGTTTTAATGAAACTAGTTAATTAATACAAGTTGTTTTGTAATTAGTTATACTAGTTGTTGATTCAAAAATGTTATTTTTGGTTCATAAGTTTTTAAGAGTAAAAACACTTGTATAAATTACAAAACACTTATTTACAACTAGTGTGGTTGTATGTTAGAAGCATGATAGTCCTATCTGAGTTAGGATAATCCCTATGTTATCTAGTTTTCCAATTTGTTACATAACTAGATAGATGCATATTTCTTAAATTTGATTTAAGTTATATGTTTTATATCATCTTGTGTGGATGTTATGTTTATGGATGGTAGTGGACAACGATTCTCTTGTATTTATTGTATTGATGTAATATAGCTACAAATGTAATATTATTTTTGACCTCTTCCCTTCCTAAGCATGGGCTACGCCTACGGGTTTAGGCACTTGCTCACCGATCATGGGCTACGCCTACGGGTATAGGCCCTTGTCCGGGTGCGGGGGGTATGGTTGTTTAGTTTAGTTCTTTTATTTATAGATTTTATTTTATATTCAATGTAATATTATTACTCATCCTACGAGATGGTTTTTCCATTATAAATGGGGCTTGCACGTCCTATGTATATGTGATTGTAATAATACTGGATTTGTAAGGGAGCTGGCACTGCAAGGAGTTACAAATTGCTTGTCAAAATGTAATTAGTATAGTTGTATTTTATTCATTTAGTTATCCACTACCATTCCATATTGCTTTTTACATATGTTGATATGTTGGTTGTGCCCCAATTGTAGATGTCAATACAATTAGATGTTATATTATGTAAAGTTTATATCTCTATACCACTAGAGAAATAGTTTTTATTATAAAAACTCATTTTTAAACTTTGTAAGACATGGCAATAATAGTTTATTGACCATAGAGTGGTGAGACCGACATTAACATAGCGTTAGTGTGAAAGATAAATAAACCTAAAGTAGTTAAAAGAAATGTATTTAGAACGAACTTTTAACTAGTGTCAAGGAAAGTAATTATGAAATATAGCTCATGGGGTGATGCCCAACTTAAGATTAGGGGTGATGCCCAATCTTTCACGCTATAGTCTTAAAGAACGGTGGTTACTTAATTAAGGTCCGATAAATATTCCCGGTGAATAGCTCGGAACCCTCCCACCAATCTTACGCTTACCTGGATAGTTTAATTGGTGTAAGTATAAATATAGAGCATCTTTTAACTATATCAAGTTTGATTACGGTAAAAGATTTGTGAAATCATCCGTAGCTCTTCATCATTTCAGTTGAATACTATTAAGCTTATAAATACTATGTTTGTTGGCATACGTCAAGGAATAACTATTCTATGGCTAAGTAGTATTCATCTGTATATTAGATATAATGATAGCTTAAGTTGGTTATGCAACTTTGTTGGCATACGTCAAGAGCTTGTATAAGTTAAATTTAAGCCAGTCAAGAAATGATGGGTCCAAACATGACTAGCATTTTGTGATTTGTTGGCATACGTCAAGGTCATAAAAGACTAGGGGTAAAATCATATCAAAAATTATAAGAGTGTAAAAGACAAAAGTTATCTACCAATTATTGAGTGTATCAATTTGTTAGCATACGTTAAGGTTAATGCATTCAATGATAATTGGATCTTGATCTCACTTGAAAACAAGGGATTGTTTTCCTGTCACTTTTTATAAGGTTTTGAGGGACTCGAAAAATAGTGGGAGGCATAACTTAGATAAAAATGATTCAAATCTATTTTATGCATTGAACATCTACTAAAATATTTTTTTCCTCTCTCTTTCAGACCATTATGTCTAGCTTAAAAATCATATCAGAACATAAAAAGTTAACCGATCCTAATTACATAGATTGGTTGAGAAATGTTAATAGTATATATCCAGAATTCTTAGCCTCACTCGTTAAGAAGAAGCAAGATGTTGCTTCATCTTCAGATGTGTTTGTTACTCAGAATTATTTTTCTATAAATCCTACATCTTGGGTACACTACTAAATAATGAGGCATCCTAGACGGAAAATTCCGTCTAGGATACCCAGAATTCCGTCTAGGATAAGCATCCTAGACGGAATTCCGTCTAGAATACGCGTCTAGTATGTTTCCGTCTAGGATGTAGTATTCTAGACGGAAATTCCGTCTAGAATACATTCTAGACGGAATATTCTAGACGGAATTAAAAACCGTCTAGATTACATTCTAGACGGATTATTCTAGACGGAATTTCCGTCTAGAATAATCCATCCTAGACGGAAAAAATTTCCGTCTAGAATAATTATTCTAGACGGAAATTTCCGTCTAGAATACTAATTCTAGACGGAAATTTATTTTTTTAAATTTTCTTATTTTTTTTAATAAAAAAGGTATCCTAGACGGAATTTTAGTATCCTAGACGGAATTTCCGTCTAGGATAATATGCTACAGTAGTTTTTTTTTTTTTTTTTTTTTTTTTGGAAACTTTTTTTTG